TTGCTCCACTGCTTTACGTAGCCCTTCTTTTGTGTAACCTTTGGCTCTTTCTGACTTTCTACAGTAAATGCGAACCATCTTTTATAGAAATCTGTAGCAAATAAATACATAAATAATGATGAGAGGAAGTGCGCATTAGTAAGGGGAAGTGCGCACTATAGTATGCACTTTCCCTGTATCAATAATCTGGTCTTACCCCATAATTATAAATTTGGGAGGTAAGAGCAGAGTAAATATAAAATAATAAATAGATTGATAGATTGATCTCAGTTAATCAACTAATCAAATTCTATGTATCTATTAACTACTACTTACCAAAAACAAAGTATAAATTGTCGAATTCAAATACTTAAATAAACGAATACTAGCCACGCTACAACTGCACATTTCTAGGTTACTGAATCATTCAAGTAAAATTGTGGCCTAAATTATCCGAGTTGTCCATTGTAGCGCCATCTAGCGTTGAATTTGTTAAATATTATTTCGCTGTAGATTACTACAATTCTAAAGGATACACTTACCCAATAACGCACTTCCCATACCTTACCTTATTCTTTTCGATTTTCATGAATTTTTCCATGGTGCTCTTGGTATCGAAGATATTAAGAAACAAAAAATAGTAATATCCTTCAAAAATAATACTACTTCCAATGATTATTTCTCCCTACCTATAACATATAAACACTCAATGTCATATATCCAAAATCAACCAATAACTCTTGCTCCTCGACAAATTACAAGAATAACCTTACCAATATACCAAACCGTAGAACTCCTAATAAGTGAAATCAAAAACTATAAACAATAAATGTTATATCCCTACCACTAACTAAAGTAACGAATAATAAAATATGTTTTGAAATACATAACTATGATTCACAATATCATAGCTTCGACCCCATTAAACTAAAATTTACCCCTCTATCAGAATACCAAACATATTACAAAATTATTGAGGAAAACGAGAATCCAAACAAAAAAGTAAATCTAAAATCTCTATTAAGAACCTCACACTTGAATGATAAAGAAGGAACAAAATTATTTCAATTATGCAACAAATACACCCATATTTTTCAAAAACCAAATGAGAAATTAAGTTTTAGTAATACGGTGAAACATGAAATTTTGGCAATAGACGACACGCCCGTATATTCAAAAAGTTACCGATATCCATATGTTCATAAAGAAGAAGTTTATAAACCAATCTCTGAAATGCTAAAAAACCATATAATACGATCTTCTCAACGACCTTGGTCTTCTCCAATTTGGATTGTAATGAAAAAACTAGACGCAAGTGGTAAACGAAAATGGAGACTTGTGATTGATTATAGAAAGGTTAATGAAAACACGATAGACGATAAATACCCACTACTTAACATAACAGAAATTCTAGACAGATTAGGACGCTGTTCATACTTTTCGACAATCGACTTAGCATCAGATTTCCACCAGATTGAAGTGCATCCCAACTCTATTAAAAAAACCGCTTTCTCAATCGATAATGGTCACTATGAATTCATTAGAATGCCTTTCAATTTAAAAAATGCCCCAGCAACTTTCCGGTGATGCATGGTCAATGTAAAAGACTTGCAAAATAAAATCTGTATGGTATACATGAATGACGTAATTGTATTTTCTAACGGCTTACAAGAACACCTGCAAAACCTTGTATTAATATTTAAAACTTTCGAAAAAAAGAATTTAAAGATTCAATTAGATAAATTTTTTAGAAAAGAAGTAACCTTTTTAGGACATGTAATAACACCTGATGGAATTAAACCCAATCCGGAAACATCAAGGCTATCCAAAATTATCCCATACCCAAAAGCGCTAAAAAAATGAAATCATTTTTAGGACTATTAGGCTATTATAGAAAATGTTACGAAAATAACAAAACTTTTAATAAACTGTTTAAAAAAGAACGAGAAAGTTGGATTAACTAAAGACTATTGTAATTGTTTTGAATTTTGTAAAACTTTATTAGCAAACGACCCCATTCTGGCATTTCCCGATTTCCCCAAACCATTCGAAGTTACTACTGACGCATCTTATTTCGCAATAGGTGCGTTACTCTCTCAAAATAATAAACCTATAAGTTATGCCTCTAGAACCTTGAATCCAGCAGTAATTACTATTCAACGATAGAAAAAGAATCACTTTCAATCGTTTGAGCATGTAAAACATTTAGACCCTATATTTACGGTACCAAATTCACTATATACACCGATCAGAAACCATTACAATGGCTATTCTCATTAAAAGAATCGAATTCAAAACTAGTAAGATGGCGATTAAGCTCGAAGAAAATGATTATACAATCAAGTACAAAAAAAGGGACTCAAAATAAAGTAGCGGATGCGTGAAGTCGTATTAAAATAGAGTGTAACCCAAATGAAAACGATAATAATAAGGATAACATTAGTACACAAGTGCAAATTGACGATGACCCCGATACGATAATCGAAAGGATATTAAGAGAAGATACAGACAATCAAATACCACACATTACTAACGAAGAACTAGATAACTTAATACTACCTGATAACCCTCCAGATAACCCAACTGTTCACACAACCCAAGAAGAACCAATATCCTTACTACCGTATATGAGAATCCCCTTAATCAATACAAAACTCAGATTATAATAACATAATCAAACACAGCCCCTAGTAATATTTACGATTCAAAATACATATTCCATAAATTTCGTCACCTCATCACTCTTAAAAGCACTTTAACCAACGAAGAAACATTTAGATTTTTAAAACCATTAATTTCACTTGATAATATCACCTGTTTTAAATTTTCCACTCCCTCAATTGAAAGAAAAATAACGCGGATATTAAGAACATCCCTTAGGCACCATCATAATTCAAAACTTCTAATAGCTAATAATAAAAGTCTTAGACTATATTATCAATGAATCGGAACAACAACAAATTATTCGATATCAACACTAAGGTAAAACTTGCCACTCTATCTGTCAATCGTCTACCTAACGATCCTATTGGTAATCCAGTCCGAAGGTGTAACCTTCAAACCGACAATCGACAATGTGGCACTATTCCAGAAACTAGGTAAACAAGTCCACATCATCGAACGATATCATATGTTTATACACAAATTAGACCTCCAGCCATTATATGAAGCATTTCGCAAACTTCAACTTTGATCAAAACAATTTAAGAAATACATCCCAAGGAATTTCAGAAACATTTCTGCACCAAGGAGAAATTCTAAAAGTAATCGTTTATCAAGAATATAGAAAATTTAGACTTATCACACGCCAAAAACGAGGACTCTTTAATATAATAGGGGACATAAACAAAAAACTTTTTGGAACAGCAACTGAAAAGGATATCGAAAATTTCGACTCAAAATTAAATACCGTACTTGAAAACGAAAAAGCAATAGTAACTGAAGTCAATCTAAGAACTTCAATATTATCGTCATTTATTAATAAAACAACAAAGATAATCCATCAAATCGACGCAAATAATAAAAATCTATGATATAATTTCAGACTCCTTAAGTGTCAATTTCCAGAGACAAATAATCGTAAATCAGTTAGAACTTATATTATATTATGTCCAACAGATTGATATCACGATTTCACTTCTTCAAAGAACTCACATTAGTTTCTTTTTATTAACCCTCAAGAAATTGATGATATGATTACTCACCTCAGAACACTATATCCCCAAAGTGAGATTCCTCGGTTTTGAAACATACAGTTATACTGTTATTATTTTCAAACTAAATTATATTTAAAGAACTTCTGCTATTACGTTTGAATTCTAGTACCAATAGAAATCAATAGTCACAGAAAACAGAACTTGATCTTTATCACGTGATTCCTATTTCAATCCAAAATATTACTCTCCTAGTGTAACGTCGTTAGTCGTATTTATGTTTATATTAACTACTAAAGATATTAAAAATACTTTATTAAATAATACGCCTTACCGCGTCTTTAATGTATGTTTTTCATTGCAAGAAATCGAACCAATGCCGCAATTATAGCTAGTTGCAGCTAGTTTTAATTTTTTCATTCAATAATGCAAGACTTTCAAGGAAGTCACATTCAGAAAGAAGTTTTTCTTGCAATAAGCAGTTGTGTCGTTTATAAGTTGCTTTATTGCTGAGTTATTTGTTGCCCATTGGTCACGCACAGTGGCTACTATTTCCAGTCCTGTCCTACGAACATGTCTTCCCACATCCTGTATTATTCTAAACAATTCTGCTGTTGTAGTTGTATGTTCACAAAAATAAAAGCAAATAAGTTGTTTCCAATTTTTGCGAATACCTTTTAACATAAAAACAAGCGCATGATCAGCGAAGACAACTCTTCTCTCCCCTTCACCACAGTCAACCATCCCTTCTATGCAGTCTTTTGTTGAGTTTTAACAAATACCTGTTTTTAAGGAAATTTCATCAAACATCAGTACACAGCATTTATTTAAAGTTGATATTTTTCCATCATAGACTTTAAATGGGAGAATATATATGTGGATTAATACCACAATGAAATGGTGTCATATTTAAAAGTTTCGTCAAAGTCTTCCGGCTGGGTAAGCGAAAAATTTTTAATAGAAACCTGTAACCTTTTCCGCTTTGTTTAAATATTGAAAGTGCAAATATTTTATCTTCCGTATTAAATTGTCTCCCTTTTGGTTTTAATTTTTGATTTTTTAACTGACTTAAAAAAATTAAAAATTGTCATATTTATATCCTTCAAAAAATTTACCTTTTAGTTGATGTTTTTCTAAAAATTTCAATTTTTGTTTAGTACCCGTCAATGGGACTTTAATATTTTAAGTAATATAGCATACAAGAAATATGTAAAAAACCATAAAATAAAGTAATTATTAATTTATAAGGATGTTTTTTTTTTAACAAAATAATTGACAAAAAAATAAATTTTATAAGGAATAATTTGGATTCCTTATTATTAAAATTTGTGGTTTTAAATTTGCTTTAAATTAAATTATTGTCTTTTGTCATTTTGATGACATTTTATTACTGGTTTTAAATAATAGCTACATATTTAAAATTAGCGCCTTCATATTCGTGTCAAACTACTTTTTACAGCACTCGACTTTATCTCAAGTAATTAGTACTGTTATCATTTAACAGATGTCACTGCCTTCTGCTATTAATTTCTAATTTTCACTGTAGAGAGGGTTAGCTATTGGTGTATTTCATCTATGCTTTCAACTGAATTACAGTAGTGGTTGTGAAGGATAGGGCACGCTGACCTAACCCACTACTAAAAAATTAAACTTTATTTTTCGATTTTTGGCCAGGTTTTTGGGATTTGGTCCCACTGTGCGTAGTATGCCCTCTACCGTCCTCGCTTAACGCCTGCCCTTTGAATCATCCAAACCATCTGTCAGTCTTCTATCCACCCAAAACCTACTTCGCCAAGCTTCTGCTATCAGCCATTAGATGTCACAGCTTGTCCAAATTTAATGTCCTTACAAATTTGTGTAGTTCTTAAGCTACATTTACATTCAATTCGAAATGAAATTAATTCAAGCCGCAATTGACAGACCATTTACTTTGGGAGTGAATTTATAGGTTAGATTTTAGATGTTTTCGTTGTTTAGAACTCACCCCGTTTCCCAATTTACGTATTACAAACGTTTTTAAAGAGTATCAGTGGTAGCAGTTAAAATGATGACTAACGAAGAAAAACTGAAAAGCAGCGGAACCGCAGAATGTGGGTACGAAGTATTTACTTAAGAAGGAGAAACTGTGGTTTTTACAATACCCTTGTAAATGAGTTGCAACTTCATAGTCCAGAATTATTTTTCAATTTCACGAGAATGACTGCACAAAGCTTTGAATCTCTTTTGACTCTCTGTGCACCTTACTTGCTAAAGCATTCACCACCTGAAGCTATTCGACCTGAAGCGAGATTAATGGTAACACTACGATTTTTAGCCACGGGAGATTCCTATCCTAGTCTAGGCTATGCTTTCCGTATAGCCCCTTCTACTATATGTGGAATTGTTTTTGAAACATGCAATGTGTTGTGGAAAGTTTTATCTCCAATATATTTAAAAGCACCAGCAGAAGAACAGTGGTTGAAAATTGCTATAGATTTCCAAAACTTATGGCAACTGCCTAACTGTTTAGGAAGCATCGATGGAAAGCACGTCCGTAATCAGGCTCCTTCTCATTCTGGGACATTGTATTATAATTATAAGAAGTATTTTAGCATCATATTATTAGCAGTTTGTGATGCACAATATTACTTTACTCATGTCAATATTGGGGCTTATGGAAGTCAGAGTGATGGTGGTGTATTAAAAAATTCTAATTTTGGACACCAACTAAAGATGGGTTCACTCAATATTCCCCAAGGACGTGCGTTACCAGGCACTGCCATTAGAGTCCCATTTTATTTTGTTGGGGATGAAGCGTTTCCTCTACAAATTAATCTAATGAGGCCATACAGCAAATTGAGGAATGCAAGAATGGAGGAAGACAATAATATTTAACTATAGGCAAGTACCTATTATAAACAGGATTTTCTTTAGTAATATCTAACCAAATATATTTATACAATTGTATGTAAAAAAAATAATTAAATAATAAATAATGTAAACCATCAATTTGTTTAAAATGCATAGCTAATCGTTTTTATCCTACCTTTCAGGTTGTCCCGAGGAAGGAGGACAATTGAGAATGCATTTGGCATTATGGTGGCTCGCTTTAGGATTTTCCATAAAGAAATTTGTGAAGCACCAGAAACAGTGGATGCAATCATAAAAGCGACTACCTGCTTGCATAATTATATTAAGCATCAAAGGGCAGATGCTTCCATGTATTGTGGGCAGTTCTATGTGGATAATGAATGTACAAATGGGATAGTAATTCCTGGTCAATGGAGAAGGGAAGTTCAGCTAAATTGGAATGCTTTGGGTACTTCATTATTAAGATTTGGCAATAGAAATTATTCAAGGGAAGCCTTTAATTTTAGAGATTATTTAAAAAATTATTTTAATAATACTGGGCAAGTTGGCTGGCAGTTGGATTACATTCGAAGAACAGTATAATTAAAATTCTTGTATGCATGCACGTTTCTTTGTTCTTTGTTTTGTAAGGTTAAAATTATTTATATCCACTTATTTACAAACAGGTATCATAAATTGTATTTAGCATTAATAAAAACTGTTATTTATATAGTATGTTTTTATTTTAATACAGGAATAAATCAACAAAATCATAAATGAAACAAACTTATTTTCCAAGATTTGTTGAAAACTAAATTTGAAAAGATAAACGCTAAACTTTATACATATGAACTATACTTAGACTTGTACTTCATTGTAAATTCTGGCTTGGCTGATTTTCGTTGACTACCAAAGGAGTATCCTAAAATATAAACAATAGGTAAGTAATGACAAGAATATTTGCAGCTACATATATGCAAACCTACTTATTATTTCCTTATTTTTCTTTTGATTTGCAAGAGTCTAATTATGGTTTCGTTCATAAATTCTTCTTTGCTGTCAGGAGGAATAATTTGTTTTGTCCCTATTTTGATTTTTAATATTTGTTACACCTTCTATGGCATTAGAGATATTCCCTAACATTCCCATAAAGGGCTCTTCACACTCTTCCTTTTTTCTTTTATTTCCTCTGACAAAACTTCTATCGCCAGATGGTGGCTGTGAAGAGGTCATAGAATTTGTAGTGCAGCGAGAGGTACTTGGTGTATTGAATATGTCCGATGGATCTTCTTCTATAGGAGACAATTGATTTTTTCCATTTGAATTTTGAATTGTATCTTGACTATTGTATTCCACAGGAGTGCTTGTTTCATTACTATACATATAATTGACTGGAATGGGTACTAAAACATTAAAATATTTAGTTAGGGTATATTGTTTCTTTTGAAAAATGATTGCATTACTTTCTTGGCATCTTGTTATCAAACATGAAGTTAAAGAACGACATTAAAGGCCAGCTCCCCAAATCTGATGCTCCTGCACCACTACGTGACAACATATTTAATTTCTGCTTCACTCTATGACACTTCTCTAACAATGACTTCAATTTTTTCTTACATATTTCCACTACAAAATCGATGCTTTAATAAATATAAACTAAATATATTTTATAATTATAGACTTAAATAGGTAGGTATATAACTTACCACTCGAATGCATGGAGAGAGCCACATTTTGGAATGCTGTTTCTTTTAACATTTTGTTGCTGTATCCCTTGTTTTGTGGATTGAATATAGCTGGATAATTGCTAATAATTTTTAAAAAAAATGTAAGGAACAAATACGCATAGTTAGGGTCACCGGTTTGCCCATCAGTAAAACCTTGATCAATGCCTTTCTTCTATTCTCTTTTTCTACTAAATCTAAACTGTTACTGTTTTTTCGGAAAATAATGGACATGCATTGATCTATCCTTGTTTTTCCGTGAATGGCAACAGTTCGTATTATGCACAGTTTTTTGGTCATATTTAATGTTTTTCTAACTCGCTTGAAAAAAAAATAAAAATGAACAATAACGCACAAACAAGTCTTAGTTCTTTAGATATATTCACAAAACACGCACTATTCATAACAACTAAAGGTATTAAGAAATTACTCTTCACAAATATAACTTTAACCACCTAAGAAACCATACACTGTACAACAAATAAACATCACCAGATGTAGTCCAAACTGCTTAATCAGCGAATAATAATTGTTGTTGGGGGCATCATCGATCTATGATTGATGATTAGTTGCTAGAAAAAATTGATTTATTCAATTTCTATAAAACGTTTCTGATATTTAATTGAACCTGAATCTAGTTAAATAACCAGATCGTGGTTGAGGTTTTTGAAGACAAACACTTTCTAAGTTACAAACTTATATATTTATGTACCAGCACGACAACGCCGTGACAAGTATTTCATTAAAATTAGAACTGCTCTTGTGTTGTTAATCGTGGGTATTTATACAAATCGCTATCAATTATTATTTTTAGATAAGGGCATAATTACTTTCATAACTCTAATTCATTATGCATGTTTTATACGTGTGGTCATAAAAATATATAAAAAAAGGTAAAGGTCATGAAGCTTACCAGCAATTAGGCCATGCTTGGCCCTTTTTGCCTGCTAATCTTACACTACCCTCCACCTTAACAATCACAAATATCCATGGTACGACAGGAAAATTCGAAAGAATTTTCCTGCCGCGTGCGGGATTCGAACCCACTACGGTTTTGCCGCACAGCCCTGGCTCGCCTCTGTAGGCAAGCCTTGGCTTCTTCGGCTACCGCCGCGCCCAATAAAAATATATAAATATTATAATTAATATTGTAATGATGATGTAATACAACTTCTCCATCCTAAAAAGGAAGTCGAGAGGCATTGGATGGGCTGCTCTGGAGCGGGGCATGTCCGACTGAGACTTACTCACGTTCTTTGTTGAAATGGATTGTTAGTCCAGTCTGAATATCCTTTCTCTTGGCCCCAATAAAGGATATTATAACCATTATTAAAACGGTAAGTTTCAAGACTAGAATGTTATGTTATTCAGGTAAATCTTGAATAATTATAGGTGATAATTTATTTAATTGGCTTTGTATTTCAGATACTTCTTTGATTTCTAATTGGGTATCATTGATTGGACTTAATGATGTGGAGTTTGAAGTAAACTTAATTTTTGGAAGTAGGAATGTTGAAGACACTGATGTTAGTTCTTCATATTGGTATGTTTGTTCAGAAAACTCGAAAGAGCAATGGGGTTCCAAGGTAACTTTCATAAGTCGGTATATTAATTTCTTTTGATATAAATTCGCATGGCATGTATATTCCATTAATACTACTGTAACTGGAATGATTACATACTTGGCTGAGGATAATTGTAAAACTCGGTTTTGAGTGTCTAGAAGTGAATCCAATTTACATATATCCTTGTGGTATTTCTTTCGTAATAGTTCCACGAAGCATTCAGGAGTATGCTATAGAAAATATGACTCTTTGATTGGCTTAGGGATAGTTGGTATCCATTGATAAACTAGTGGAAAAAATTAAGGGATCAAAAAAAAAATCTAAATTTTCTGCGATTTTTCAAATGGCTGTATCTTTGATAAAGATGGTTGTATTGGAGTAAAAAATTTGAAGCTTGAAGTTTCTAATTTTTGGATCTTGCAAAAAAAAATATTTTCAAGTAACACGTATCGCGCAATCTTAATGAATATCATGAAAAGAAATTTTTCGAAATTTTTTCGATCTTATTTTTGGTGTACGGACTTGAAAAAAAATTTAACCACCTTATGGATTAGATAGGTTGTTCATTTAGCTTCAATTTCTTTTTTTTTTTTTTTTTGGTCTCGATACGACCACATCTCGCTGAGCTATCGGATTTTGAATGAAAATGGATAATTTTCTCTTTGTTCATCGAGATTTCAGAAACCAATGGATGCACAGAAAATCGACGGTGGGTTTCAGAAACTTGAATGAATTCTCTACAAGATCCTGGCACGGTTTTTTAGAGAATTTTTTTTTATCCTTAACATGACTGAAAAATCGTAAAAAATAGGAGTTTTAGGGGTCTTCTAGAAAATCAGGTGCCACATTGAGAATATTGGGAAAATGAATAATGTTAAGTGTGCCTTTTACAGGTCGTACCCCTAAAAACCCTACAGAGTTTCAATTCGATCCATCAGGCGGTTTTTTTGTTTCATTCGATTGAATTTGACATGGCCGAACGTTTGAGGGCTGTTATAGAGAGTAGTTTTTTTTCATGATATTCTTAAGATTGCGCGATACGTGTTACTTGAAAATCTTTTTTTTGCAAGATCCAAAAATTAGAAACTTCAAGCTTCAAATTGTTTTTTTTTTACTCCAATACGACCAATTTCGACTTATTCGAATATATAAATTGTTTAAATTATTCGAATATGTATTTATATTATTTGAATACAAATAATTCTCGAAATAGGTGGTACTTAGTCAAATATTTGAATTATTAGAATAATCCAGAAAATATTACAGTATTATAAAATGTAAAAAGTTCAAATGTATTTTAAGAGAGCTGAAATTGCGGCGAAAAAAATATATGTGCAAAAAATTTGAGGGTCGACTATTTAAGCGATTTTAAAAGAGGTCTTTGATATAAAATTTTTTGATTTAAGCGCCTCTGGATTAGTTATGTTGCAACTCCTTAAAAGGGCTGCAAAATATAATTTTATTAAATTTTTTCCAATTTTTTTAAATTAAGAGCTGAAATTTGGTATGATATTTAGACTACTGAGACGGTGAAATGAATGAGAAGCTACTATATATTGATGTGCAGACTATGTGCGCGTTTGGGGTCCTGAACTTCATTTTTTACTGAAAACCTGTATCAAAAAACCGAAAGAGGCAAAAAGGTTTCTAAATTTAACAAACATTAACAAAATCGAATAAAAAATGTGGAGTTCAAATTATTCGATTATTCGAATAGTTAAATTATTCGAATATTCGAGTAGTTAAATTATTCGAATAATTCGAATAGTCACATTTACACTTATTCGAATTTATATACAGTACTAATTTGAATATTCGAATTATTCTAATATGATTCCCAGCACTAATTGAAACGGTTCTTAACTAAAAATAATACATTAACTTTTTTCATTCTGAGGGAGAAATGTCTTGCTAGTGTCTTTCACTTAACTCTCAAAAATCTACAATTCCACAAGCGCGTCACCGCCTTTGGAAAACCACCGCGTTTGCAGGATTCCAAAATCGTCATGGCTGACCCGATTTAAGTTTACCGCCCGGCTCGGTGATTTCGCAATCAGCTTGCCGTCGAATTGTCTTTTTGTTTCGTAATTAATTTTTATTGCGAAGTAATGCCAATGAATTAATTTAATAGAATGAACTAATGGAAATTTACTAAAATAATTGTTAATTTTCTTTGCTTTTGACATATTTTCTCTCCCGCCTAGTGAAAGCTGACCTCCAGCTTTATGTCATTGTCGTCATTAACATTAAATCATAAAATAAAATTAAAAAAATGTTACATACAACTTACCCATAAAATTGTAATTATTTCTATTCCTAACCCTTATGATGGAAGCAAAATTAAATGTCCTAACTATACACAAAAAAACTTAAATAATCGTCCGTAACAATC